GATCACTATAGTACATTTCAAATACAAATACATTTCAAATACATTTCAAGGACAACTGCAGGACATCCCAGATTCCATCAGTACCCATCCAGGACAACATAGAAATAGATTCCGGAGAACTGGACAACAGTACTCTGGAACCTGGAAACACCCCCAACAATATCTCTTACAGTTCCATTACAGTCTCTAAATCAGGCTCAATGAGCAAATTGGGAAAACGCAAGAGGTATAGGAGCAGCTATCAAAGCTATTTGAGACGTCCATACTGAAGCAAGACCGGAGAACACCATTGGAGCTACGACGTGGACGTGAAAAAGCTGCCTGGACCTAGTGTGCGTGAAAAGTGTCAATTAGAAATTACTTTACTTGAAAACAAAATCATTAACTTCAAGGAGATTGAGGAAAATACTTCTGAGCCCAAACTGACCAAGGAGAAGTCATCTTTCCAACTAGAGGAATCCAATGAGCTCTTCGATTGTCGCATTACATTAGACGATAACAATTTTTCTATAAGAAGAAAAAAATATTTTGAAATAAATTTCAAATTAATAATCTCTCCCAACTACCTACACAGTAGGGTCTGGTAAACGTCTGTTGGAAAACAACTACTTCCCCGGCTAATACCACACTGGATATAGAATTATATTTCGACAGTATACGAAAGATCTCACCCGGACAGTAAAGCGTCTGGGACTCAAATAATTTCAACACGGCTACATGTATGAAACCTTCTTCTGAGAGAAATATTCTTTACAAGTAATAATTTCAGCATGGTCCTGCTGCTGAATGTACGAGATACATCTGCGAGACTATCTGATATATCAGATGAAGTATTGATAATTCAGGTAATATTTTTGTTATATCAGGTACCTACCTATTTACAGGTAGGTACCAAATTAACATTGACTGTATCATTGAGGATTTGTTTGTCAAAATGAGTCGGTTCAATTGAGAATGGTTTAATGAACCGAAACCGGTCGTAACAAATGAAAATCTNATTGCTTCGTCAATCTGGTTGACTACAAATATTGTTTTCATCAAATCATTTCAATTTTTCTGAACTTGTAATGTTGGATGTTCACTCACTTGAGAGTGAGAATCACAATTTTGAATTAGGTTGGTGAAGGATCGGTCGAAAATGACAGTGGCGTTACCTTCGTCTGACTCAGTTATAATAAGATTTGGATTATTCTTGGGAAAACGTTTAGTTTCATTGAATAAATGGTGTTAGTAGATCTTGCTACTAGTGAATTTTCAACGTTATCATCGGTGATAGTACGGGTGATACGAGTATAATCTACATCTGCTAAAAGATTCTTAGCGGAAAATCTTCCTGATTTTGGGACCCAAGGCCAAAAAATTCAAAATGTTTGCAGGAACTCTGATGCCTGATGAATTTTTCATCCATTCTGATTCAGTGGATGATTTTACTTTATGAACTGCTATCGAAAACCCAGCAAATTTATCTAAATTCTTCAATCTAATTTTGTGGGAGAGTTTAATACCTTGAATTTGCAGAAATTGTTTCAAATCACATCACACACCTCACTGAACACATATACCAATCAGTGTTGCGACAGTGTTCTTCAAGATGAAATTTTTCTGAGATTTTGAATATTTGTAACAGTCACGACTCCTATATACAATTTAACATCGAAACAGAGAATGATGAACAATGGGTTTCCTTCCGGGATACTAAATTCATCAGAAGACCGAAAAATATCCTCCTCATTGATTGGTAATTGGAAAAGCATTTTTTTTCCTACTCAATATTCAATCTTTGCGCTATAAAGCTAATGAGCTGTTTGTATTACTTACAGATAAAAAATTACCAAATATAGTCTTTTGACTGAATACTGGCTTTTAGATAAAGGACCATGTTTTATGGAAAACTACATGATTCTCTCTGAATATTGTAGAAATTATGGTCACGGTGGAACAATGATTTTAGTTAATGAAGAATCTGTCAGCAAACTACTACCTGAAAATGTAACAAAATATAATTACCTCACAATTGAAAAAGTATCTGTTACCTCAAAAAACTAAACCTATATGTTCTTTGTCTATATAGGTCTCCTTCCTCTGATGTGAATCTATTTCTAGAAAATTTAGAAGTAATACTGAGTGACCTTTCATTGAAATCCAATGTTTTCTTAGGAGGCGATCTCAATATAAATTATGTGAATAAAAATTGTGCAGCTACACAAGCTCTTATGAGTATACTACGATCCTTCAACCTCTAT